GCTGGTCCGGTAAACAGTATGATGATGCAGTTTGGCCAGGTACGTCATACCTCGGGATTTCAGAACAATTTCGCTTTTTCGAATATTTAAAATCCTGGATTTCGACGGTTCCGTTTTGCAGTTCTTGTCCCATGACATATCAAAGAATGCTCTATCGAACGTGTGCACATGCCAGATGGGACCACCTCGTTGTGCCAATGTTCCTCGCCCACGAACGGATACAATGTGAGATGCAGTGGCCTTCAGAGACGCCATAAACAGTTAACAAAGGATGCGCCATGCAACCGAGTTTCATTCAAAAGTGTTATTGGCTCATTACTAAGCTACTATAATGAATCGAGGACCGCTGCTGTTGTACGAGATGGTTCACGCTTCTGGACCAGCCTGGCACTTACTGACAAAACTTACGGCTAGATGGATGCAAAGTGTAGTCGGCCTTAGTGGGATTCTTATTCGATCCAGGAACTGTAGGTACGGTGGCTCTTCAAAGAAATCCCATGCGCAGTTACGGTACAACTATCACATCATAAGGGATGTATCTAAGAATTCTCCTCGAGAATCGGATTAGCAGAGTCCAAGTGATTTGTAGGAAACAAACGAGCATCCCATGCAACGACTAATCGTTTGAACGTTACAATGGAAGTTCGTATGTGCTCTACAAATTCTAAAACTCTACTGATTCGTGCCCTACAATTCGATCGTTGTTCACTTCACAGAAATGGAACCCTTATGTTAAGCTGATCCTTGATGGATTTGATGGACTTGAATATAGTAGTCATTCCCAAAGCTGCCGCTACCTTAAGCTTGGCATTCTCGCCCTCTTCCGGAAGTTTGTTCTACACTCTTGCGTGGTCGCTTGGACTGACACCATTCCTCACTACCTAAGTTCATTGCTACGGCTTTTATTCCGAATAAGTCCTTCTGATAGCCTCCTTCTCTGGAACCCTTGCCTTCCTTACCCCTTGCTCCGAGTTTCTTCAAAGTTTCAGACAACCTCACTTTCCAGTTCATGCTCATTACTATACAAAGGCACTTTCGATATACTTACGAACTCCCAGGAATCCGAATAATTTGATACTTTCAGAGCAGGAGGCTGTGTTACATTCACTCGATCGATCCCGGTGTGTGGGACAGGTCTTGGAACCCGTCCACGAGAACAGTACAACGAAAACACGGCTTTCATCGATGGTAGCTCGGTGGGTGACTAGCCAATATTGTACAAGCACGTGGGATCGTTCCTTTCTGTTTAGGTCTATTCTTCTGAAGCTGTGACACTAAGGAGTCTGAGATCCGGAGCGATGATGAAAATCCATGTTTGTCTCGTTTTAGAAGAGGTTATATGTGCATTTTCAGAAAGAGATTGTGATTGTGGTGATTTCAGCTAGTAAATGGACATGCCTTCCCGCCCAACAATAGACGAGATGCGATGAGTGTTGGAGATGATCGAGCTACGATTTTCCTTGGTCTCGCAGCCTTCCACACTACCTTCCTACGTCTTCATAACAGGTACCGTTAACATAGCAACAAACACTTCTACGGACCTGAATGTTCAGCAACGGCCTTAACTCAACGATTTTACCGAAAAGATAAACGCTCTCTTGTCAAGGCCATACGACCTCGTTTAAGTAAAGCGATTAATGGGTTGTCCATAAGAAGCCTCTCAGCCTCCCTCAACCCATGTACTAGTCATTACCTAAACTTCAAGTTCACTGCCCTGCAATTTGCCAGGATAGTCGACCGTAACGCCTGGCTCTTGTGCCAGGAACCCAGCGTGTGAAAATACGGCGGCTAGGGAACATCAGAGTTCAATAATCAGTTCTTCCTGCACATTATTCAACTGGTCTAAGGCACAATCTCACTATAAACAATCCAAAGTCTGACAGGGTGAGTGACACCACCGAAAACTCCGCACTTCCGGATTTATGTCTTGCCGATGCGAGGGAACGACCTAACACAGAAGATGGGAAGACTTCAAGGTTCTACCCCCACGGCCGGAGTGTATGGTGGACTACGGCCTTTTGCGAAGTTCTAACCAATTCTAACGAACACTCCAGATCTCGATCAAAACCGAGTTTTTTCCAGCATAGCCGCCACACTACAGAACATGAACCTTCTGTGGAATCAAGATCGTGTATTCCAGGAAACCAGGAAAATTGTCGGTTCCATAATACAGGTAAGTTCAGAGAGTCTAATCCTCAAGCGATTAAAGTGGAGATATAAACCACATCGGCATATCCGAGTTTTTTCAGGTCATTACCTATCAAGAGTTTCTTCCTGCTCTTATCGGTCCATTCCACCCTCGACTAATACCGCCATATGTGAAGTGAGGTTTGAATTGATTCTGATTTCCTCGTTAAAAAGGAAAAATCGTAAAAAATGAAACCTATCCAAATATGGATAGGTAGTTTAAACATCAAGCGTTCATTCACCTCATTTGGATGCGCCACGCTCGTGACCTAGGTCCCGTGTCGAAGAGAAATTTGAATCCGCTACTTCTATAGGTAAAGACGTTCGTGAGCAGCCGATTCCGATTTCGACCATCAAACCGAAAACTTTCGGGTGATGATGCGTTTTTGGAACTGAAATTTAGGAAATAATCAGATCAAACATAAACTGGTTTATTCTGTATCTCTTTCCTTGAATAAGGCCAAAATTAAGTACAAAAAAACTTTGTGAGGAGAGAGGAGATTCAATGTAGAAAAGGGTCATTCTTGTACCGGGAGGCAGGCGATCACATCCCGAACTGACCCCAGCTCAAGCCGAGCAACCCCGCTATTGCCCAAATTGATAAATCTAAGTTGTTCGCCTATAAACCGCTACAAACGCTATAATGTCATGGTTTACGGATTTACCGATTGTCAAGTATGATTAAGTAGTTTTCTTCAATTTGAACTATAAAAATTTCAGGTACAACCCAATCGTGAACCCTGGTATACTGAACGAATTCGCTGGTGCTGCTTATCGGCTTCATGGAATGATTCAGGTACCTGAGCCTGCAAGGCTTGCACTTAATTCACCTTGAATTATAATTAATTAAATCAAATTAATTAAATTAACCTTTAGTTCATCATTTTTCTTGCTTTTTAAAAAGATGATCAATATTCTTGTAATCACTGCAGATGACGTGGAGTAGGACAGGTTGTACAGAGGCCACCTTACTCGTCTAGAAGGATAAAGGGCTTAGTGTGTATAGGGTATGTGCGATGTTTCCTAAGAAATTGAACGACTAAACCCTAGTGCTCCCTACTATTTGGTAGCTGCTGACCTTTGCTGATGTGATTCTCTCTCATGGATGTTTTAGAAACGAAATGGAAGTTATACCCGTGCCACCCTAACTAGTAACACCCTCCTCGTTGCACTCCTCGCCCATCGTGAGCGGGTTCCACTTAGTTCACGTGGACTCTGTTCCCTTGGCCTTCGCTTGCACGTCTCTGTTCCAAACTTGATCTAATCCCTCCATGTTCAGTTGAAACCGGCGAACACAGGGATTATGTACAGTAATGATTACCATTACAGGAGTCCTATCCGCTTATTGGACCCAACTTTGAACTCAGAGGGAAAGTTCCATTTTTGGACGGTGTCGGAAGGATCGAACAGGTGTTGTCAGCGATTGATGCAGTGTATCGGTAAGGAACGACGTCAATACCATACAGTTCAGCATTTTACAGTACTCTCAAAAGCAATTACCGTTCAGAGGCTTCATCGCTTCCCCAGTTCGAAATCCTCAACGTATTACTACGTCCGTCACGGAACGATTATTCGGTGGATCGGACATGGCCACAATAAATATCCAGGTTCGGCTGAACTTACCTGCTTTTAGATCCTGATTCCTTTTGTGGACCAGATTGGTCGAAAATCCAAGCTGTCACTGGTCAGGAGTCATTATCTCCTTAGGCTCCCCCTGCTTTCAGAGAGGACGAGATCACGGTTTCCGCCCATATAACGACTACCGCAAACTGTGCCAATTGCAACCAATCACCAATTTCAATGAGGTTCTCCCCTTTTGACGAAATCCATTCGTAAAAGTCTTTGTTAACCGTCATTTCTAGTGGCCAGAAGTGTCGGACAAAGCCGTACGGGAACGAGTGGCACAACTATACAGGACACCCGATGATGTTAGCTACACGGGCGAAAAATAAAGCCTTGATACTTATTGGCTCCAAATACAAGTCGAGAATGTAATTTCGTGACTTCAGCTCGATCTGTATGTGGGAGGAGTACTTGAAGAACCGATCGAAGGCAGTCTTGTTGGACCAACCTTTGCCTGTATTATTGCTGAGCAATTTGTACGACTTCGAGATGGAGACAGGTACAGCGCTTTCATGTTCAATATTACCTGGCCGAAATCAATTGCCATTGAGGGGTGGTTAAGGCAGTGACAAGAGGCAAACAACGTACATGCACTGCGAGAAGATCAAATTCAGATTAATTGATTTCAATGAAATTGAATCGATTTCCCAATTCGTTGCTCGGGTCAGATATGCGTGCTGAACCGATTCCGAATAGAACACCTGGCCTACCTCAGAGGAAGAAACTGTCGCTCAAATACATTAAACTGGCAATAAGTCAACACCGGTGAGAAGGGGCCAACTTGGCCGATCCTTGATGAAAATGAGGCCGGGTTTTGCCTTCCCGATACCTACCACTAGCCCACCACTGGCCCTCTGTTCATATCATATTCCCCAAGCCCAGTGAGAAAAGAAAACAAAAGGATCCTGTCCTCTGTTTCAGATTCTACTATGAGAACGAAGGAGTCTACACGTCAGCGCAGTTGGCTGCTTTGAAAGCCGTCACTCTATCATGGGTTTTATGTAATACAAGTGATGGGTGAGTAGAAATAACAACGATTTTTCAAAATCGGGTCATGGAGTGTTCTGAAGTTAAGACGGCATCCTTAATTGGTAGGAATCGATGCCATGGCTAGTCAGCCTCGGTAGTGGTTTTTTCTACGATTTCGAACAGTAGGTTCTGAAGAAAAGGCAATGAAAAGTTCCTGAAAACCATTTGCCGCTTCGTTCACGAATCCCAATCCCGAAGGCTTCCGAAATATAACGGGAGATCAATGACTAATGTGAATTTTAAAAAAAGAACAGTAAACTTAAGCAGTGCCCGGTTGTGGCATAGAGCAAATAAAAAATTAAATAAGATAAAGATTCCAATCGAAAAAAATAGACCTCTAATAACTCAAACAATTTTCTTGCTTACCAGAATGAACAGAATCGTTCCGAATGCATTCACCATCGACCGTGGACAACGAGCTGTCGCCTGCTCATCGTTACCAGGGCTCGATCTTACCGCCTGGAAGGAATAGGTATTTCGGCTACTTTTCACAAATTTCTTGTTTCTCTGAATAATCAAAAACTCTTTTAGATTGACACTGTCGTTCCTCATTACCCGGCTAGCAGGGAAGTCATTGCTCAATCAGTCAACCATCTCTGTGCCAATAGTTCTCTTTACAAATATATTCGAGCTTTACTGCTTACATTCCAAATACAGGTGCAATAAATAAAGATATCGATATTGTGTCTTTGAGTTTTGCCTAAACCCATCAAACGCTCCATCAATCAAGGGCGTCTGACTGTTTAAAAATCGCATCGTAGAATTTGGAAGTGCGAATATACTGGTTACTCTGATGGCCTCCATTACTTGTTTGCGTCAAGCATTGATTCGAACACCACCAAAACTCCGAAGAGAAGTTGAGAGGATGGAGCATCTCAGGAAGTAATGATAGCACTGATAAGTAAAAACTTATCGATACCCAAACCGAGCGCTGTACAAAATACTGACGGGCGTCGAGAAACGCACACATCAATGCTGCGATACTGTATGAAGAGCAAAAGATAGGAGATTTCATACTATAAATCAGTAACAATTTCAAGCAAACAACTCAAGAGAAACCAACAGCCCACCGATATAGAAAATGCCTTCTACCGTCAACAGTGAAACTTGGCAGAAGGCCAAACATACGGCCAACACACAATAACAAACCATATAGCACGAAATCGTCGCCAATATGGCATGCAAAAATCGTAATGACCGACTAGTTCGGCTAGATTAGGTGAACAGTGAGAAGCTAAAGGCAGACAATTGTCCATAGGGCAACCACACATAGAGGAAAAACGATCAGTCAGAAATCAGCGCGTCGTATAACAACACGCTGATGAGGGAAATCCAGATATATAAAGATAACTAGTCTAATTCGTCTTCACCCAACGGAGCCAAAGTCTTTTGTGTATCGAGTGCCACCATTATTTGCTCTTCAACTAGTTCCTCAGATTGCTTATTGTCGGTATCCACACCACCTAAACAAGATAAATTGACGCGAACATCAAAATACTCGTCCTGAAAGAGAAAAACATTGAACGAACCTCGGAGCTGAATCCTAAGCTCACGTTGGGCAGCGATTTTCTTAAGATTCTTTTGACGAATTAGTTCAAATGCAGCCATTATCTTTCTGGAAAACGGCGAGAATTGAAAGTTAGCCAACATATTCACATACAACTTAGGTTTTAGAAAGATTTGAGTTCCGCATGCCTACCTTCGCCTATCAATAACTTCTTGGCTAGCTCTGTTCTTTTCTTCATCATCTTCACGCTCGAACCGAACTGCTATTTTCTTCAAGTTATTCTTTATTTCCTTAAAAAAACACATTGATTGTGCCAAGGAAATACCAAATGGGAAATTAATCAATGATAGACCGATACAGTAACAGACAAAGACAAAAACTAAGAGCTGATTCACCTTCATTTTCTGCTCACTCAATTTTACGGGTGGGCGAGGGCGCCATTTAAATTGTGTTAAACGATCCAGAGCTTTCCGACAGAGTTCACGACCCTAGGAATACAGAGATTCTCAAAAAAGCTACGACATGAGAGTTAAAGACAGTATCAAGGAAACGTAAGAAAGTAAGCTTACAAATTACCTGGAATGTATATAACCTAAAACCAAGATCAGCTCCTAGTCTTCCTCCGAGCGTTGAACAAGTCACGAAATACCGGCCTGTGGGATCCCAGTATCCCTGAAATTGTGAAACTCAGCCAATATAATTGATTTCGAAATTCTGATAAGACCTATAGATTAAAGATATTTAGACAAAAGACTTCTAGATAATCAAAAATCAGATGACCTTGTTGAATCCTGGGTGCTCAACGACGTTGGTACGTTTCGCTTCTTGTAACGTAGTGTCGACGAACATAACATTACCACCATTCGACCGTTTCGCCAGAATGGCCAACCATCCCCCGTATGGTGCCCATAATACCTAAAACCCTACATAAGAGTGACATGAAAGCAAGCAGATACATTGAGTGAAATATACCTCGTTAAATTGTACTCCTGGATCCAGTTTACTCATTAGTTTTGGAGCATGACTATTAGGTTCCAAACGATATACCAATGGTGTTACTTTCGCTTGATTACCGGTAAGTACGCAGAATTTTTCACCTAAATAACATAAATACTTCCATAGTAAATGATTCAACTGGTGAAAAAAGAGAAAGAAAAACAAAGCGATCTTTTCCTACCGTGAGGCTGCCAACCAAAGTTGATGAACGGTTCAGGAAGAGGTAGATTCATCAATGAAACATCCTTTTTATCAATTTCGAAGATTTCGAGATGGTAAGTGCATCCGCCTACATATTTAACTTCACCGCCTTCTTTCATTTGCTTTTTAGAGTACCTGGAATGGCAAATATGGAAAGGATGTCAGAAAGGGAAAGGGAAGTTGCCCGAAAGTACCAACAAAACTCCCCAGAGATTTGATGCTAACGACAATTTTTTTGAGAAAAAAGAGCTCATACAGCGCGCAATTGTTGTGGGAAGCCTGCTCAATTTGATAATGGGCGAGCCAAGAAAAAGTGGTCAAACAGCAGCTGGGAGGTCATAGATCACCGACAACTGTTCTTTTCCATTGATGCCAAGGCTTACAAAGATTAACATTCCTACTAATTAGCGCCGAATTTTGAACGCTCTCACATACATGAAGGGTAACAAAACGTATAGAAACAAGCTGTGAGGGGTCACCTCATAGTATAGACTGCAAGACGGTCACCGCTTTTCTGCCAGAACATTTGCGAATCAGCAACGTTATGAATGCGACCCGATCGTAATTTCTGTTGGCTAGGCACCTGCACTAATCCGAATTCCGCAGGTATCGAGTCGGTGCACTGCAAGCAGGATCAGCTCATAACAGAAAAAAGAAGAACGGAGTCCAAAATTAAAAATCAGAAGTCCACCTCAGCATAATAGGAAATGATGTTCTGGGTTGGGCACCATGAAAATGTCTTAATATTTTCCACAATAAAATGGCGACGATTAACTAACGAGAAAGTTTCTGTTTCAAAGACAGAAATACCATTAACCTGAAGTAGAAAAGCAAAATATTGGCCTTAGTCTAAATTTGGTCTTATTCAATTCACAATCTTTTACCTTCTTCTCCTTCTCCAGTTTGTCCTTCTCCGGTGGTTTGAGGCAGGCAAAGTACTTTTCATCAAAGGACCACCTAAATGTTTAAGTAACGAAGCGACATTTTCGCTCCAGTCAGAGAGAGAAACTCTTGGGATCATGTCTGCTTCGGGAGGGAAATGAAGAGATTACAGAAAGCAAACCCACTGGAAGAAAGGCCAACAAGGTAACTGGTCGCGATTCGTTAGTGCATATAGGGAGTATCCCTTTAACATCTCTCCAGTCACGACGTCCCATATACGTAGGCAGTCCTCATCATCTCCCCAGTGATTTTTCTCAGCAGATTCGGCATACGTCACCAAATAGCTGTAAAAGTATGCCAATATAATCGCGCTACCAAATAATACCCGAATATTTGACAACTCACGTCTCACAAGGCGAAAAATCGACGAACTGCACGTTATCGTGGCCGAACCGTTGAACTCGAGCAAAATCACGTCCTCCCCATAAGCAAATTCCTTTTTTGTGGATAGTGGTCAAATATGATCCATGAGGTGACCATTTGAAGACAGTATCAGTCCAGGACTACAGAGTGGAGTTTCAGACAGAATACCGCACGTAAAGAGCCAGAAACGGACCGTTCTTTCAGCTTTTGACTGCTCTCCTGCAAGTTCTGGATCATGCCCTTTTATATGCCAATAGCATGCGACCACTGGAATACCATCCTTCTCGTACTGTACCGCAAATTGGTCACGGCACCGTGGATGCTGCATCCAGTCCCACAGATCACCCTAAAGTGACAACATGCAATCTAGAAAGTCTAGAAAATAGTTTTTACCGAAAATAATGTTTAAATTCATTACCACGTCGTTATAAGGTGTTGGCTTGGGTGGCTGCCAATTCTCCGCAGGCTTTTGAAAATTTCGAGCTTCATTGAAAAGCAAAGCGGAAAAGACATGATTTTTGTCCAGCTTGTACCCGTTCAGAACACCCTTCGCATATTCGGCTTTCGTTTTATCAGGGAATTCAATGAACACGCAACCCTAAACATTTTTTCAGCAAAAACTGATGGAAGCTTGCCTTCAAATACACTTGCCTTGCTTCCTCCTTCCTCTGATAGCGGGAAATGTGCTTTATGATCTGGTTCTACGTTCGTGAAAACCTTGCTAAGGACAGTGCGCAGTTTGGCAACTCTGTCTGGGCCAACAACAGGAAGGCCGAAAATGATCAAACAGCATTCCTCATATTCGTCTATGGAAGGCTTCTGCCGTAAAACATCCATGACGAGTTCTTAAAAAAAACATTTTCAGGGCCACACAGTTCATAAGTCACTCCACGTTGCAAAAAGAATTGAAGAAGATAAAAAGCAAGCTGACCTTCATCAGGGATGTCGTCTACGAAATCTTCTGGATCGGAGAAGTTGGGCTCCTCTTCATTTTCTTTATTAACGTCCATTTCAACCATATCGCCAGAATTTCGTCAAGGCCAAAAGTCGACGGCTATCTGTAAATAAGACATGGTATCACTTTATCAAATGAGCAATCTTTGTAATTATTTTCCAAAAAGACACGATTACTCTGATCCCTCAGCTCTTCTCTTACGGTTTACATCTATATAAAGCTATTTTCAGCGGCATAATTATATGATACGTGATCTACAGATGAGAACAAACGAGAAAACTCAAGTGTCCTGTTTTTCTGTTTTTCTTCCTGAGATTCTGAACTCGAATTCCCAGTCACAGCTAGTCCCCATAACTAAGGAAGGAACAGGTCCGATAAAAGAGTTCATCCGATAAACACGAGTACTAAGCACATAGAAGTAATAATCATAATCTTTACTGAAAATGGAGAGCGTAAACCAATAAGTTTTTATATTTGTCAGCAACGAGACTAAAATGGGACCTCGAGGCTGGAAGCTGAATTCAAGAGTCTTCCCGAGTTTTTACGCATTTCGAGCCAGCCAGAAGTTCACACCGATTTTTAGGCCTGTTAATGATTAGGCTACAGCTCAAACTAAGGCCAAAAGCACGACGAATTCGACTTAACCGTAAATTGGAGGAATGGGTAATAAAAGTGTGCAACAAGCCGTTACAATTACAAAAAGGTACGCGAACTTACAGACAAGGTTTGCTACCGTCAAAAAGAGACGTCGTTTTATTTGTCACTATGACGTTTACACATGAGACGTTTGATGAGACATGCGAAAAACTCGTTTGGGACTCCGAAAATTTCCAGTGGTAATAGCTGAATTCAGGTAGTTCGTGGTTTGTGGTTTGATACAACATTCACAATCTAGGGTTTACCCTTCAACCGGAGCAGGGTTTGGGAACTTTGTTTGGAAGTAGCCAGCTTCGAAAGGAGTAGAAAAAATGGGAGGTGCCACACTTTGTAGGTAATCCTGTGAGTCTGTACTCTTTGAGCTCTTCATTGAGGTTTGTCTGTGATTGACTTTATCCACTTCAAATTGTGAACTGCAGAAACGTCTAAGGAAATAACTGGAAGCCCCACTTCGGAATGTTAGCAAATAAGCAGCCGCTGACTTCTAATTTTAGCTATTTAACCTGCCTATAACTATAAGCTACTGAAGAGTAAACATCAAGTAGTCTACCAAAAAAATTCGACTGGCTTCTGGACCTGACCCTTTCCCTTCGATGCCTACAAATTTCAGGGTCATGACTACGTAAAAAACATTGCTTGCTCAAAAGCTCAGGCTTGAGCGGGCCGTCCATGTCTGTTAGGCACAAGATTTCTTCAATCTTACTTACTTCGGAATTGATTCTCCTGGCAACTCATATCTCTTTTCAAGCCTGGTTTGAAGTTTTTGAGTATAGCGAATATGCTCAATGAATTGCTAGGCATCTTATCACCCATAAACGATCTGATTGCTGCACACAATGGCTGTAAAAACATTGCGGAAAGCGGTTTCTGACCGAGTGCACAGTGACCAAAATTTTAATCCATCACATGTACGTATGCTTATAAAACGACTCGAGATTTATTCGTATCTGCTACAATGCCGAAGGCAATTTTCACTAGTATCCTTTCAACTCCTAATGTCCTGTACGAGCCAACGCGTCGTTGAGAATGTTTACACGTTCCGCTGCTTGAAGTTTCTGGAGGTTTCTTGCCTAAATCTTGGAAATTACACTCTAATAGAACCCTAGAAAATTTAGACTGTGACATACCTTTCTTTTCTGGTTCCATCTAAACAGAAAATAGATTCCTACATAAGTTGCAAGAGCAGCACGACAAATATTCGCTCGTCCAAAGTGTTCATGAGGATTCATGTACAATCGCTTAGTATTGACGACTGTTTGCCACATTCCACGAACTGCGTCGGCCATGTCTGCTCTGATGAAAATCGTGCACAAATAGATGAGCAGCAATACATAAAGATTTCTGATCGATAAAAAACTGTAGGAAGTAATACCCATATCATAAAGCCAAACTGTAAGCTAAACGGTTTTTATAACACTTCAAGGAAATAAGTTAACCGATTCCAAGTCACATCAACGCAAATACACGGTTACTAAAAGACTATGTTGTTAACGCAGTGACACTTCCGTAATACATCGCAATAGTAACAACACTACGTAAAACCGGCTTCTAGGAGATATAAACTGTGAGTGCGCCTTTCAAAGGTCAATTCTCAACGTTGTCAAAGGCCAAGCAACAAATTTAATCGATAAATATTCCGCATAGATACATAGAACTACAATACTATCACTGAAATATTAGTGAGGACTATGAATTTGGGCGTAATTAGAACGTGAAAAATCTGAACATTGAGCACCCACTACTTGAGAACAACACAGTCGGCTCGACAGGAAAGACATAAACCACCCTGACGGGCTAACTTCATAAATTCAGCATACAGTATCACGCAAAATAACCACTTCTGTCATAATGTCATATAAAAGCTTATCTACACGTAAGCAATGCTTTAGCAAGTACTTTGGCAAGTGAATTATGGTGGGTATTGTTACAAAGAAGAAGCAACCATTCAGAAAACATTTGAACATCGGAGTCCTGCAAGCCAGGTATCTGATCTCGCCACATGGACAACGAAGAGGACCTCAAAAAAATTATTCATCAAACTTCAACCTGTAATGAAGTCACCTGGGCTCCCCAAACAAAAGAGTGTGATCAGTAAGAAGTGATCGGATGAATGTGATCAGGTGATCACTGATGAAGAATAAAAACAACTTATCAATAATTCTCACTAATAAAAGATAGATACACATACCAGCCATCGGTAAAGTCAATGCCATCGGGTGGACCGCTTAACCATCGGACGACACCCTGTGAAATAGCCTTCCGCTTGGCACATGCGTACAAGAGCGTGATGAAGGCATCCCGACAAAACTAAACCTTTGACATGGAGGAAATTTTCAGAAATAAACTCTACAGCTCTGAATAACCTTACAGCTAGCAAAAAAACTCACCACATTTTTATTTAGCATATTTTCTTTGAGCGAATCAATGTTCACAGCAGATGACAAAGTCATAAGTTGTTCCCTGCTCAGCTCTATCAGTCCCGCAAACATATGAGGAACTACTTCACAGTTAATCTGAAGGAAAAGGGCTTTCAGATTTACTGTTCGTCTTTCTAGCAGCGATTTCGCTTCGCTAGTATAAACTCATACCAGAGAAAATAAGATGAATGACAAAAAGGTAGAACGATTTTAGAAAAACAGAAACTCAATTTCTTCTTCTACTGGTATTAATAAGGCGAAGTCAATTATAAAAATGGCAAAGTATAAGAAAGAACTCACTTCTTCTAAGCATTTCTTAGGACACAAACCCATAACCGAAAACAACGACAAAACGACGCGAGCAACATCTCTAGCTGTTCCGACGCCGAGCGTTCGTGCGACCACGGAACGCCCTTTTCCGATCTAGAAGAGGAAAAGATGGCGATTCCAATTCCTGCACACACAAGTCTCCATCATTCACCCCAAACCGAAAACCAATTTTGATGATGGTGTTAAAACTATTAATGAGCACACATCAAACGCCGTTCTCATTATTTACGAAATAACTCCACGGAAACTTGCACAATGGAAAAAAAAATTGAAAACAACAAGACCCACATTGAACGCAATTTCACTGCGAAAGTCAGGGTTAATGGGATGTCTCTAGTATTAGATTCCCAACAATTTTTACAGCTGTACGACGTGCTGGATCAACGAGGCAACTCGAAATCATGTGCAAGGATAGTAGGTGCTTTTATTCCAAATATCTATATCGAACACATCCATGCCGAAGTTCAATTATACACTACATTACTGGTTTTTTTCACACATCTTTTTTTTAAATGTACAAATGGGACTCTGCCAGTTGGCCTTCACCACACAAATAGAAAATAAGCAAAAAGTAGCCGAACTCCGACTGATACCTGTCTAAGCTCACAGTCGATCCTGTTTATTCAAACTCTACTAGCATACTCGTACAAAAAGAAACTGTAAATATCAAAAATTACCTGCAAAATCTTGACAAGATCCTCTGTCATAAGATCTTGAAATATGACATCGATACGATGTGAAATTTCCGATAGTGCTGACTCACTGAAACTTGAATACTACTACTCTTTGCATAAGATAATTTTCTGATTTTCATCAACAATGTATTTAGAACTTTGTGCGCTGGAGGAGTTATCGGTTTCATCAAGGCGGCACAGTGAGAGTTGATAATTGAAGCTCTAGCACGTGCAACTCCTTGGATCAATACTGGCGCTGCTCAGAGTAGCAACACTGCTTGAGAGTACTTCTAACAAAAATTCTAAATGACGGCTGGTCTATAAGTTTTCACCTCTTATTCCAACCCTTGTTACATGTATTAATTCCATGACATAATTTCTTCCAAAAAAAAAGGTCGAGATGCACACTACTGGTATAAAACATATGCTTATATGAACAATATACAGTTGCCATCAAGGAAATGGAAACTTCATCAATGACTACCTAAGAGCAAAAATAACAAAAAAGAGCAAAAGGAAATTCGGACAAAAGCCTCGAACACCAACCTGCTTTGAGCACAATTCCGCATTCGAAGACGCAAGTCTTGACATTCTAAAAGCAGAGCCAAAGCTGATTCAAGACGAAGAAGAAGAGTCCGTAACTTTCTTTGTTTCCCTGCTCGCTGTGAAGCATCCTCGTCGGCATTGTCGAGACTGTGCTCAACACTGATAAGCTAGAAACAACCATTGATCATAGAAAGAAGAACGGCAAACTATGGGAATATGACGCTTACATGTCTTGGATTACTAGTGGAAGATTTGGATGGTAAGCCAAGAGAACCAGCAAATTTGACATTTAATGGCACTATTTCCTTTGGTTCACGAGGTGACTCGAGGTGACTTCGTGAGCCATTGAGGCGTCTAAGTCTCCGCTCATTTTCCTCAAACAGTATCAGTAGTCAAAAATACACACTTAGGATGTATATGCGGAATCTTGCCTTGGTTTTTTCTAAAGATGGATCTTGTGCAGTAGTGCCACTCGGTTTCCAGCCCTTGGCGATTTGTTTTTCTCGCCAGCTCTGCAATTTATTAATTTGGAAATGACAGGCTGAACCTAACAGTTGAAAAACGTACCGTGTAATAGTAATCGTCCTCATAGGGGTTACCAGTTCCTTGACACTGCAGAATTTGGATTTTTACAAGCCACTCTCTTTCTTTACATGACATATAGCCCGCAAACTGGTCGAATGCAAGATCTTCTATGGTACGACCAGATGGCATCCCTGGAGCTTTTCGTTGCCACTGAATGAAAGCAATATTGCGTACAAAAAATCTTTCCGCAATTCACGGGCACAATGAAATGAGACTAAGGATTGGGATTCATTTCCAACCTGGGAGCGTCTATCAAATGTTTGCGGCGGCACTGGTAACGGAGGAGGCACCATTCCTGCGTTAGATGCTCTTATCATGTCCATAACGATCATAGGGTCCTACAAAATCGAATCCAAACATTGATATTAGCAAGTCAACATGCAAAATAGAATAGTATTCAGTTGTTACCTTTACAGTATCGAAGAACATCCGTAGAAGAGGAGGAACTGGTGGGCAACCCGGGGGAAGACATGGCAAACGTCCAGCGAGATTGTCGAGCCAGAATGGCACGAAAGGAATCATCATAGGATGGAGAGGAGGTAAAAGAGGCGGCATCGGCATTGGTGGAACTCCGCCAAAAGTAGGGAGCGCATTGGGTGCCTGGAATCTCAACGTATTAAGGACAAATGAACAGTCGCTGAAATCAGTTTCATACCATTCTGGGAGGCATCTGATTGTGCGTTGATGGCAAAGGAGGAGGAGGAAATTGAGAAGGGCTACAGGGTGGTAATACTTGAGTCGGTGGTGGTGGTACTCCTGCGGCTTCTTCGATAAACCGTCGTTCAAGATCAGTTGCGTTTACAGCAACAGGGGGCAATACGACGTTCGCATTTGGAGCTTTGCCTGCTTGCGACAGTCGTTGCAAGTGCCCTCGTTCCAAATCTTCTAACTAAACCAAATATTAATATTTTACCTACCACAACTTACATTACATTACAGTATCAGAAACCGGACAAAATGAGCTTACTGTTGAACCACGTGGCATAGCAGGTAAGACAGGAGAACGTTGTTGTGCGTATGCATTTGATCGCGAAGCATTGTCAAGCATTTGAGAAATACCCCCCATAAGCGAAAACCCGCTAGCAGCTTTGGGCTGTTCTGTCGGAGGCTCGTTCTAAAACAATATAGGTAAATATTGATACGACGTAAATGAGAAACTTTCATAAATAAGAATTCACCTGAACAAAAGATGACTGATTAGGATTCACAGTTCGAGAACTGTTCTTCTGTTCCTCCCAGAGGTCGTACAAATTGTGCGATCTCTGACTCCATAACGAATCCAACTTCGCCTAAAGCTTCAACAATTATTGCGAGAAAAGCTGCGCTGCACAAAATAGCAACGACTTATATGTACATATATATGGAAATAGATTACACCTTCAATAAAAAAAAANAAAAAAAAACAAAATAATGATCTCAGAATAACAAACAAGAAATATGTTCTTACATCAATCAACAAATCACCAAAAAGCCCGATTCTGATTCTGTTTCAGTTGTTTACTTTACCGTTGAGGAACGGAGGCTCCTATGTTAATCAGAAAAGAATGTTCACTACCTATACAGTGAAAAGATAAAAATAAGCTACATTCGTTGCTCTATAAACAAAATGAAACGGTGGCTGGTACATTTGGATAAAAAAAATAATCGAACAAATTCAAATGGCGACCTGCCTATGCAGGGTGCACGACAGGCTTAATACGTACATTAGGAATTCGCAGCCCACACCGCAAAGGGTTCACATATTGTACGATAAGAGCAATCAGTTAATAATTCTTGAAGGAAACGAAAAAGAAAAAACACGCCCCAGAATGGAAACGAACCATTGTTTCACTTCCAAAGCTAGAAAACGAGGGTCTTCCAAATGCATCAAAGTCCGGTAGAGGAACATTAGAAGCATCAGGCGCAGGTGCTTTAGAACAACCAGGAGTGTCCCATGGTACTCCATCGTCGAGCCGAAGGCATGCCGTCTAAAATACGAAGATAAAAGAGTGAATCAGAATTAAAATAAAAATGGACAAACCTGAGCTGCATAGTCCTCTAATTCACTGTCCAGTGGCACGTGTACATCATCTCCGAATGTCTCGTCATTAATAGCATCAATCTCATCGGCGGCTCCGTCATCTGAGTTTTCGTCATCGTCCGGTATAGCACCTGATTTGTGTAAACAATAGCCGTATTAGACGAAAGATTTGAAAAAGTGCTCTCTCACTATTGACCCTATGAAGCTCGTTCGTTCTTAAAACGTATGCAACTGAATAAACAAACAGCAAACAGAACTGCCAAGTTTTTCGTACACGTATTCGGTAAAAATCTTTTCGAACAAAAGAAACGTATTTGTAACACGGTGAAGAGAACAGCCTACGTTGGAAAACCACATGTAACGGCTTTCCCTAGAAAAAAAAGTAGCCAGTTTTTTCATTCATGACGAAAAAAAAGTAATATCGAACAGTACCAGGACCAGGAAGCTAAAAAATAAAATATCTTTCGACGTTGTATTATGGAAAATCCCTTGTTACTTATGTGTTGATACCTAATCTTATATTCGAATGTATACTTGAACTTACCGAACATATATTCATCACAATGGGATCGATCTGGTCTGCCTAGATCCATCTCACCACTCGCTAACATGGAATGGTGACGACAAATCGGCACCGCTGCTAACCTCCTGAATTGATTAGGGTTTTTTGAGATCAATAACAGTTGTTTAAATTTACTTTGGGAGAGTAATAGTCATCAAAAATAGTGGCTAGACTATCCATTCCCCATAACCAATTACTAGTCTCACCTCGAATATGGCAGTGCATCGATTGATCGACATTGAACCAATGGTGCGCAGGGTGGCCGCCCGTTAAATCTGTTCGCTATGGGACCTAACAGACTTTCTAGCAACTGTGACCTATAAACGCGGCTGGAGCGCGAAAATGTTCTACGGGCGGGGGTTGAAGAAGGAATTTAAGGGTCTTCCTGTGAACAAATGAGGGAACGTACAGACTGGAATGATTCTCGGCAGTACGAGGAAACATGCGATCTGTTTTCGATCTGGAAACAACTCGACTGCGCTTAGAGCCATTATAATGACCTACAAGGGCTTGTCAGATGGGACAATATATGGATTTTTCTAAACAGTCTCAGATGACCAGACGACACCTTTTTAAATGAAGTTTTGTTGGCTCATAAAAAAACAATGTCAAGAATAGGAGGGCTGGGGGAGGGGGATGGACCTGATGAGAGCGGCGGTAGGTACCGTTCAAACTCCCTGGCTGCCATTTCACGGGATATGACCCTATCCCTTGTTCTAATATGGAATGTTAGGGCCTTCTTAAGTTGAAAATTATGCGCCATTCCCTTTCCAAGGTGGTCAGTACTACATTTTGCCCTTTGATTCCAGGGTTTACGTGGATTTCATAGCCTCTACCTATCTATTGCTATCTTGAATTTGATTTATTCAGCTCAGAAAGGACCATGTATAAGGCTTTAGAAAGCCGGAAGAAGATTAGAGCTCCTTCGTTTTTCGAGGATATCGTTCAGAAGGCGCAAAACTGCGAAGGGGGACAGAGCTTCGGGAAAATTCCCGGAACAAGGAAAGCCCTTATCTAATCATTGAACAAAATATTCCAAATACTAGGAAGCAGGTTAACTCCCCTCGTAGTTTATCCTTCACCTTCCTTCTATGTATTTCTAGGTGATCCTTCTTATCGCTAACCAGGGAGGGGTAGTCTACTTATCTTGGAACTTTCAATTCAGACCCAGATAAATTGATAGAGTTTTTAATGCTGTTTACGAAAATGGAAATTAAAACTGCAAAATGATTCTCCTT